CAATAGAGAATTCAATTTCCATGTCAGGCGGTAATCCTGGCAATTCTTCAGGGAAAACGTCGAAAAATTCTCGGATAACCGGAGTGGTATCCAAATTTATCTCTTCCTTCCTATCTTCTTCGATATAGCAAAGAAAGCCTTGACACCCTTTTCGAAGGAGGCGATTGCTCGAATACAGGAAATTAAATATGATGGGGAGTCTTCTTTGATACCATTGAAGTAAAATACTGGTTGATCCGGAATACTAAAGGTAACCATTTTCTTGTAACAATCAATACTTGCATGGTATGCAGAAAGCCAATCCATACTTAAAATTACATCAAAATCTTGAATTTCTGGAAGTATTAAATCAACCAACAGTTTCTTTTCTTCAATCTTTATTACACAAGATTTGTACACTATATTGGTGTCACTTGAATTTCCCATCGGTGTGGCTACCTCTAGAATGTATTCTAATTGTTCTGGTTCTACTTTTAAGTGACATGCAAAGTGTGGTGACACAAATGAATGAGTAGATCCAGGATCAATCAAAACATGAGCTACTTTTTGAAAGATAATAGGAGTACCTTGGAACACTGATTTTGATGACTGGGCGTCTTACTGGGTGATCGCAAATACTCTTCCCTTCATCTGAGGCTTTTGAGCTATCTCTCCCTGCTTTGAAGCTGTTACATCTGTAAGCTAAGATATTCTCTAATCTGGTGCCCCAATTTTCCACATTTAATACAGGCTCCAGTATTCCAATAACAAGGGCTCGATCCATGGTTTTTCCCACATTTTTTACATGGTTCTATTGGGCTTTGAAGTGGCAAGGACTTTGGCTTCTTATTTGCCCTTTCAAGCCGTTGTCAATTAGATGATGTGGGTCTAACCTGACTTTCTGATTTTTAATATTTTGGTAATCTTCGAAATCTTTTCGACAATTTGGGCTCGATCCACTACGTTAGCATAAGTTCTCAATTTTAAGACTGATAATCTGCTTCTAATAGCTGGTCTGAGACCCCTGTCAAATTTTTTCACCTTTCTTGCCTCATTGTTAATCATATGTGATGCGAACCTGGCCAATTAGGTAAACTTGGCCTCGTACTGTGCTACTGTCCGATTTCCTTGGATTAATTCCGAAAATTCTATTTCTTTTTGGTCTCGAATAAAATTTGGGAAAGACTTTTCATTAAATGCCTCTAGAAATACCTCCTAAGTCAAGGGTTTATTTTCTTTGACCAATACTCCTTTTGTCATGGACCACCAATGTTGTGCTTCTCCTTCGAACATAAAAACTATCAAGGCTACCTTCCTATCATCAGGACCTTCCATTACCTCGAATATTTTCTCCAATTGCACAATCCATCCCTCGGCTTCTAGTGGGTTTACAACACCCTTAAAAGAAGGTGGGTTCAATTTCTTAGATTGTTCGATATTACTCCCACCATTTCCTGTAATTGACTGCCTGGGTGAATTGTTGTTTTCCATCTGATGTTGCATTTAGAGCAACCATATTTTCCAAGGCTTTATGAATTCCTTCCATATTAGCTTCAGTTATTCAGGGTCTTGACTTCGTCCCAGTCTGTACATGCAATAAATGTGATTTTAAGGACATTCTTTTTAAATTTTTTAATAATCTTAAACCTATTGCTCTGATATCATAATTGTCACCCCAAGAATTTACAATACTGATATTTGTGAGATGTGACAGTCAAAACATATATACATCTCTTGATAGGACAAATTTACAGTGGCGAATTCTTACAAAGTAACAACAGAAAGTCTAAGCACAACTACAATATCTTCCAGAGTTGACCTTGACGAGCACTTCAAATGAAACCGCATTTATCTTGAAAAAATGTTTGCCATTGATGAGTTTAGCTACTCAATAAGTGATCCTCGTAATCCTAAAAATAATTCTGGTTCAAAGATATCAATATTTTCAAAAAGGAGATCTATTAACAGAAAGGCATCAACAGTTTCACTTTAAAAAATGCATAAATAAGTATAATCCGAATAATTGAAATGCATATAACATTTTAACGGCAGTGCATAATTCAAATGATTTCAAAAATTACCTTACTGGCGTCCCAAGTAGGTCACCTATATACCCCATCAGTGTCTTGATGGGTCCACTTAATTCCTATCGGCGCCCCCAGATAGGTCCACTTAATCCCTGCAGGTTCACTTATACATCACCGGCGTACCGGATGAGTCCACTTAATCCCTACCGGTGAACCGGATGGTTCCACTTATACCTCACCGGCGAACCAGATGAGTCCACTTGCATACTTAAAGTATTTCTAAATCTCTTTAAACATTCGAAAGCAGCAATATCATGTACTCAACATATCACTGAAATTATTAATATGAAGTTCATTGAAACCATTAATAACAGTCACGTTCAATAACATTTCAAAAATAATCAGTCAAATATTTTGGGCTCAAATTTAGAAAGATAGCAGTTTGTAAAGACATTTTAGCATAATTGCCAATCTAAAATGTACATAAAAATTCTTATAGAAATTCAAGAATACGGAATTATCACAATTTATGGGATGTCAATTCGCAAATAAACATTTCATAGACAATGCTATAATCAAATGCAAAAATATCAGTTTTCAAATAATAAGGCAGTCACTTGCATATAAAATTTACAATGTTTAAATATTCAAAAACAGTAGAAAGAAATCTCCCAATTTTACTAAAAGCAGAAATATCACATTTATTTCTAATAATTTTACAGTATCTAAAATTTTTTAACAATAGACAAGAAAAATAAATAAATTTATTTTTTTAAGAATTTACAGCATTTAAGATTTCTAACATAGATAAAATATCACAATTTTATTAAAAAGATTATTTTTCAAAATAATAAGGTTGCTTGCGCATAAAATTTATCGCGCCTAAAATTCATGATAATAAGCAGAAGTAATTATTTCATTTTATTTTTAAAAAGAACGGATTATTTTTCAAGATAATGAAATCACTTACCTAAAATATTTGAGAGAGAGCTTCAGATAAAAATTCGGCTAGAGAGAGAAAGAGCTCACTGCATTTCGATTAGAGAGAGAAAGATCTCAAAATTTTTCTAGGGTGGGAGTCCTCGCTTCTCCACGCCTCTCCTATTTAAATTCTTAAGACACCTGATTATTTTATTTTATTAAGTTATACCTCATACAGGAGGTGTAACAATTATATTACACCTGAACGTTTAAAGCCCACGTCCACTAAAGGACGTGGCAAGGCAGCAAAAACTTAAACTAACAGCTTTTGAAAGTAGTGATGGTCCCTAAGGACCATCATGCTCATATGGACCACCACTTATTAAAAGTTTATTCTCTTTTCTTTTCTTTTTTTTTCTTTATTTTTTTTTTTTTAAAATTTTAGGATTATTACAGTTTTGTTATGAGGAGATAAAATATGGTTGTTATCTCATTGAGTCCATACAAATAGAAATCACATGACCTCTCTTAGGCCACTTTGAGCGGTCATTTTGGGGCGCACCTCTTTTGAGCCGCTTTGGACAAACTTTTCTTGGTGTATCAAGATACAAAAAACTTAAGCCTTCTTTTGCAGAAAAGAAAAGAATAGAAAAAGTTATCATCATTCTTAGAGAGAAGAAGAGATGAAAGAGAGCCACTAATCATCTTCTTAAACCTTTTTTATTTGTTTAGAGATAAAAGAGAGAGAAATGAAGAAAAAGGCGAGAAAGAGGTAATATTTTCTTTTACAGAGAGAAAACTCTAGGAAGAAAAAAAGTCCCTCGGCGAGAAAAACTCAGAGAGGGAAACCCTAGAGAAAGAAGTTTTTAGATAAAATCGGAGATCACAAGAAAGTTGATTTCTTGAAAGACTATTATAACATTTGATTTAACATTCGTGCGGGAGGACTCGACTGGGTACACCCAACAGAAATGCTTAAAATAGTTTGAAAATCTATTTCAATGGTAACCAGAGATGTTAAACCCTAAAAGCATTGAAGATCGAACAGATCTATAAGAACTTAAAAATATTGAAAACGAATGTTCTCAATATTATTAAACAAAAATACACTAATTTTAGGATTCGAAATCCCTTTTTTATTTCGATGTCCATACATCTAAAAGTCGAAATATCAATTGGAAGGTTTTCAAGCATTAGTCATAAAAAAATCCTTTTTAGGTCGATTTTTGAGGTGTGCCTTTTATGGTACTTGGAAATTGAACATAAACATCATTTGAGCCTTATCCCAATGATTTGGAGGTGGCTACCAGTGTTGGCGATCTAATTGCTAACTGCCCTGTTAGATGGGAATCAACCATTGGCCAGTTCCGGTTTTGGGCGATTTTGGTAATCAACCGGTATTTAAAAAATAAAAAATAAAAAAAAATGTATATAAATTCCAAAAAATAAGGAATTTGACTTGTAATACATTTTTTTAATATTGTTTACATTATGGTAAAGATTAAAAATTGTTTTGATCATTAATGCTCATTTTTATATTTTCTCATCTTTTTTCAAAAAATATAAAAATACACCTAGGCACAAATGGATTTGTTAAAATTTATTTTTTTTTATTAATTTTCAACTTCATTTGAATGTGTTTTGTTTTAATTATTCTTTATATGCTTTTCATATTTTAGTTGATTTTTTTATATATATTTTTCAATATTGTTTTTTACCACTCGGGACTTCCCTAGTTAAAGCAGTTGAATAAAACAGGTTTATCGGTTAGGCCGGTTAAACCGCTTCCGAGCCCAAGTCCAATTCCGGTTTGATTTGGCGAACACTGTTGGCTACAAGTTTGTTCGACCTTTATGTTCTATCAAAGGCTGCCCTGTATAAATTTCCTACTAATTTCATAATCAACAAGGTCGCAAGGTGGTCATCACCATCCAACCATTCATATGGACGGGTGAGGGAGGGCAGGAGTTCCACTAAATTTGATGGCATATTTGGTGGGACCCAGTCTCGCCCATCACCAACCAACAAATAATTGAGAATTGATAACCCTCATAACCAGGCTCATATGGATCATACTACCAAACCGTAGTCTTCTTCCCAATATACTTATCCGGGAAGGATCAAATAGCTCTCATGGCTGCTATTGCGGCGTGCCGATTCTCTCTCTCCCCCCATCCTAACCCAGAAAATCGCAGGGCATCAAGCCATGCAAAACCCAAAACAAAAAATTCAAAGAGTGTAAAACAGTGGAATAATGGGTCCATTGTAGCGAAAGCAGGGGGTTTCGATCCGTTGGGTGATTTTGGAGCTCGAGACGCATTTCCAGCAGAGATAGAGAGCAATTTTGGTGAGAAAGTGGTAGGAAATGCAAGCACGGAACATAAGATACTAATCCCAACACCTGCTGCTCTTTCTCTCGCCCAAAAATCATGCACCCCAATTTCTCCCTCTCAACCCCCCATGCCCAAACACCAAGCGCAACAGCTCATGAAAAAGGTACCCGAACGAACTCTCGTACCCATGATGAATGAATTTACCAATTATTATATGGTATTTAATTTCTCTCTCTCTCTCT